TATGGTTGTTTTGCAGTAAAACACTAACTATTAGAACTTAAAATTGTTGATGCAAATACATACATACATACATAATACCATGCAATGCACGGGCTTTTATAAAAGAATTTAAGGTAAAAGATTAGGTGGGCCAATTCGAGCCTAACTTGGCTCAACCAAAGATTTTACATAGGTTGGGCTTAAGTGTTTGAACCTCAAGTTGGGCTTCATCTAAAAGAAGCTCAGGCCTAACTTAAACTCAGGTTGGGCTTGGGTTGAGGCCTCAGGTATCTTGAGCCCGATCTCACCAAATCTGAGTCTGCCCAACATTTTATGATATAGTTATCTACATATTAACAATCTATTCTACCTGGAAATTGGGTTACATAGCTCCATATGCTCAAGCCCAAGCCCAGCTTGAGATGTTGGGTTAAGCTCAGGTTGGATCTAGCTTGGTAAACTTGATCTTGACCTTACATTGGAACAAGATTGAGCTCAAGGTTTGAGAGTTAGGTTTGAGTTTAGGTTGACCCTCAACTTGACCCAACCCACCCAAGTTGCATCCTAAGAGCTAGCATTGAGACATTCCTAATTGTATTAGTTTTTGTTTTTATTAAATTGTTTTAAGTTTTACTAAATTTTTATTTAGTATTAATTTTTGTTTTTTTAAATGGATTAGGAAATTTTAAATTAATAATAATTAAGTTTAAAACTAATAATTTTGTTATTTTTTTATTTTATCAACCAATTTATAGTATCATTTTATTTTTTAAGTAAAATTTAAATGGATATCAAATTATAAGATTTATTTTTGAAACTAAAGTTTTCTTAATATTTTGTCATTTTATTAATAATCATGTATAATTTATATTACATTTACTTTTAAATAAAAATCTGTGTTGATCAAAAATTGCCTTTAGAAGCTCAAAAGTTGCCAGCTCAGCATGGCTTATCTCCGTTTCTCCTCTCATTTTTATTAGGAAACTAACTATCCCCCACTTTCTCCTAAATTATCTCTAATTCCTATTTATCTACAAAATTATCACTAATTCCTATTTATCCTTTTTCCCACTTTTTATCTATATGGATCTAAAGAAAGCTCCAATTAAAAAATTTAACAATTTTCAAATATTATAATGAGATTACGTAATAGCTTTAAAATATTTATTAAAAACACAAAAAAATAATTATAACAGATTAGATAATATTCATTTTCTTAATAATTTTATATTTTTATAATTATAATAATAACAATATAAATTATAATTTTATGGATTATTCAATTTAATAACTAAAAAATATTTTAATAATAAGTAAGAAATTATTTAAATGTTATTCAGATAATAAAAAATTAAAATTATAAAATAAAACATTATTTAAATATTTCAATAATTAAATGTTTTAAATAACAAAATATTAAAAATAGCTAAATTATTGTATAACAAAATATTTAATATTACATAATAACTTTAGAAGAAATAAAATTTAAAAAACAAAAATGTTTAATTACATATTATGTTGATGAGAATAGAATTTATCATATTTTTATCCCCGATTATTCTGTCTTTTATACTAAATTAGCATCTAATTGGACTTATATTTCTTGTATTTTGGTCCAGGGTATGAAAGAAGGCATTAAGAGCAAAGAAAGACAAAGCGGATGATTTTTCACGGTTTCGACATCATTCCGTGATTTGGGCCTAACTTGCGTCTCCGAACTCCGAATGGGCTGATTCAAGATCCACTGGAAAGATAAGAGAAAAATCCACAACTTTCATGTTTTGGGCTTTCGCAGATTCGGCCTGCATCGAAGTCAATTTCAGGCTCGAAGTCACGGCAAATTTATAGGAAGGCCCAATCCGCAACTGAAGCCCAACTCGCAGAAAAGCCTAGCTGAAGCCCAAGTCGTAGAGGAGGTCTATTACGAATCCAAGAACAAGAAACTAAGAAGAATCCTTCTAGATTTAAATTCTTGATGTAATCTTAGAGTGATAAAAGGATTGARTTCAAGAGATAAAGAGATAGGATTAGAATTAGGATAGGACTTTCTATTTCTTGTAAAGATCAACTTCAAGAGAAAGTAGGAAACTACCCCCTCCCCTTTAATCTATATAAAGGAGGAGGCGGACCAGCATTAGGTATCACTTTTTCACTGAATTATTCAATCATTCAACTTCTGATCTGAATCAAGAAACAAGGAGCAATCAGTCAAGAAGGGTTCAAGAAAGGTTCAAGAATTCAAGAAACTTCAAGAAGAGGAGATCTCAGCATCATGGGCGAATTCAAGAGTTCTTTCTTTCCCTTTGTTTGTTTTAATTCTTTCATTATGAACTGATTTGTTTCTTGCTAGGGCTATGGAAAGCCTAACCATGTTAATGAATATATTCTTATCTTCTTGATTTATCCAAGATTGTGATTTCCATATAGTCTATGAATTATTGTGCTTAATGCAATTAAGAGCTTGGCCACCTCTTAATTGATTTGGGTTA